TGTTGATATATTCAATTTATTGCAATAATGAACCCTGCTTATGTAGTATTGGAAATAAGGCCTGAAAAAAAATTCAGGCCCCTACAGAATTTGAACCCATGACCTCTGCGATACTGGTGCAGTGCTCTATCAACTGAGCTATCAAGCCAACTAGGAGCTGGTCATTATGTTGGTCACCATTTCCTCTATTCTCATGGCCTTATAATGTTTGATTCACGGTGACATTGTAAGGCAAAATTAGATGCCAGTCACTCGAAGGGATCACAGAGCTAACTTTCTTTCTAGACAAAAATAGACTTAAGCTAAGTTTCAGTTTATTTATTTGCCCAGTAACTTGTTATGATAAGTGGGTTGTAAGTCACGTGATCTCAGGGATCACGTGCAGTGTGAAACTACTGAAAAAGCTCTTCAAGATGAACTCATAACATAACTCACAAATATTGGAGGGAGACTTTCCTTGCCAGATTTTATTTTCCTGTAGAAGATATCTGGGGTTCCTTTTACACTATCCCCTCTGTCTTGAGTGAATTAAGAAAAATTTTTCTCATGACAACAAAAAACATAGATCACCCAATCACTACAGTACCCTAATTTGCCATTTATTATCACCCCCCCCCCTCCCTACCCTTCCCAAATATGGAAGGAATCAGAACCATTTCAGAATTTCTGTCAACACTCTGAAATCTGAAGCATTGATTTCTGGGAGAAAGTCTGTTAAGCAAAGTCAGAATGATCCAAATTTTGTCAGACTATTTTTAGGAGAAAAAAAAACCGACATTCTAAGTGAAGAAGTCGGGTGGAGAGGGTGCAATTAAAGATAGATGTCCCTCATATAATCATGCGAATGAACAAAAAAACGAAAACTGTACAGATCTCAAATGAAGATTCAAGAAATCCCGAGTGTAGCGAATCAATAAAAATTATCAAACGAAATACGTTGAAATTTATCAATTGATTATCAACAAAAATCGATGAAAATGAGATCCATATATCGATTTAAAAGCCTACTTTTCAAAATGCATTTCACAAGAAAAAAACATGTAGACAAAAGCTTAACCTTAATTCAAACCCTATTAAAACCAGCCTGATTTTTAAAAGGAAGCACAGGAAAAGGATACAGTCGCGATATACAAGCGTATCTCCTCGAGAACTCAAGATGAAGAAGTCAGATAACATGGCGATATACTTTGTGCGATTTACCGCTGAGTAGGATAATAAACTGTGGGCTCATTACAAATTTCAGTTTTTTTCACAGTCATTTGCGACCTATATTCGTCAGAAACTGAAAGTTTTGTTTTTTGGAAAGCTTATTCAATGTAAGATATAAGAAAAATAGCAAGAATTATGACTCAAAGTGGAAAAATACAAAAAATAAAGCGGCCTTTGTCCGAAGTAAAACTACTTTGATAGCGTACGCATGCGCTTTAGAACTTTGCGATTCAATATCACTCTTGTTACTTTCCACCAACTTCTGCACGTGTGGTGATGAAAATTTGAATCGATTCTGTAAAAAAACACTCAGGTTGTTCCTAACGCAGTTTGCAGCATGAGTGATCTTGACGAAGCAACCGTTAAAAAGCTAAAAGTTGCAGAGCTTAGATCAGAACTTCAAGCTCGGGGCTTAGATTCAAAGGGAAACAAGCCGGTTCTTGTGGAACGATTGCTCGAAGCGATTTCCAACGTTGTTCAAAAAAATGGCAATTCGTTGGACGAAGATGGTGCTAGTGCTGTAGAAGAAAGTGCTATGGAACCACAAGAAGAAGATGCAGAGGAGAAGGAGGAAACTTCAGCAGAAGAAAATCAACAAGAATCTGTCAAAGTCGTGGAATCGAAAGTTGAAGAACCGTTACCCGTAGCTGAAAATTCTTCCGCTGATCAAGCCTCTGATCTGGAGGCTGTAGCCGCCCCAGTGGAAGAAAAACCTTCTGAGGAATGTTCCGAAAAGCCTGCAGAATCTATGGAAGTGCCTCAGGAAGAGGAGAGTGCAGCAGAAATTGAAAAAGACGTTACTCAACCCGCAGAACCGATGGAGACGGGTCAAGAAACTGCTACAACATCCCAATCAACAGAAGGTACGATTAAAGAATTTCACGTTTACATAATCAATGAGTTCTCTTCATATACAATTTGCTTTACTTTGCCCCACTTCGTAGTTTTGTCGTTTTACTTCAACCACCTGTATTACATAACACTTATTTGAAATAATTATCGTAGTTCCCTGTCTATCGAGAGTCAACACATCAACTAAGATCTCCCGTTTCTTTTCCCTCCGAAGTCAAGTGTATTCAGAAACGTCGTTTTTTTTTTTCCTACTTAATAAATTATTCATAAACAACAACATATGTGGTAGTAACGTATTGGTAGAAAGAGAAAGTTCTCTAAGATCCAGAAATGAAAGACCTGCTTTATTAGACTTAAAACTAAGACGATTTGTGAGTGCTTTGCTTCTTTATTGTTCAGAATACATCTACGTAGAGGTTTTTGGTTAGGCTTTAGTTGTTAATGCATCGGAGACCGTTAGGGATGTAAAAGGAGACTGAATAGAAGTATTTTCAAAAACAGAACCACACTTTGTACTCAGTGTGCATGTTGTAGCAAAATCCTCTTTCATCTTCAAAGCTGAGGGATTTAGTCCCATTTCTAATGTGCATACCTAAAGAATTATTAGACATATGAAAACTCTGGTTGAAATGGTAAGAGTGACAACCTTAATTATTTAATGCAATCATGTGCTTTTATGAGTAAGCATTGAAGAATAATTGAGCTTGAAATTAATTTAAAATGTTGTTGAGTCCCTTTGGAAAGTAATGGCAGAGAAACAATGTCCTGTTGCAAAGTTTTCGTATATCATTAAGTTAGGTTAGCTTAAAGAGCTGTTCAATCAAAAATGCACTAATCGTAGTGGACAGAAGTAAATCCCTTGGCATATTGAGCAAAGTTACTCAGCTTTAATAGCTCAGATAGTGTTTCATAAGGAAGAAACCTCTCTCTTTCCAGCAGTTTTAGTACTCAGTTTGGGGAACTAAATGTTTCCATGTAGATACTGTAGCTTGTACAGTCTAGGCTTGATTATTTGGGCTCGTGGAGACTGGGCTCAAAAGTCCAAATAATTGAGAGTCTTGATAATTGAAAATGTGACTTCAAATAAGCCAAAAATAAAGTAGTATGTGTATCATTTAATCAAAGTTATGCGAGTATTGTAAGACATTCTTAAATGGTTAGGCATCATTGCCAAAATTTAGTGGACAATTTGCCCCCATGAAAAATAAGGGGAAAATGAGACATATTGTAGCAATAGATTCCCTAGTGTCTTGCATGTTTACAGGGGAACCTGGACTCTACTCTAACAGTAGTTGACTGGCTGAAATTCAGTTTTGGCTAGTGGTTTTCCATTTCCACTAGGCAATATGGCTAGTAAACAAACCAAAATTGTTGTAACATCTCCAAGTTGTCACTAGCCATTTGGCTAATGAGTTGAAAAGTTAGAGTTGAGCCTTGGAAAAAGGAAAAGAAACCACAATGCTCAGTAAATTTTCTGAAATCATCTTTTCCCAAAAACAAGTTCCGATCTAAATACAGAGATCAAATTCAGAGTTGCATTTCTCCAAAATATAATCTTGGAATCCTCTGTTCTTGAAAGGGATACTCTACACCTTAAAAGGACTTTCTAAAAAAAGACACCTTATAGTCTGAATAAAAGACGTTTGCAAAGAAAATCTGTCAATTTTTCTTTACTTTTAGTCAAGAGAGAAATGACGTAGATATGAGAACTTGTTCCTTGTTCTGGCTTTAAATGTTTTGAGATCGCTTGTGAAAATACCAAGATCAGGTTAATTTTTTGCTTCTAAGAGAACCTTCTAACTATATCATGACACGTCGCTGTATAGCTGGTGGATGTTCAAACACTGCAAAAGACAGAGTGAGTCTCCATGGCTGCCCTTCAAATGTGCAACGTGCTCGTGAGAAACACGCGAGCAAAATATATCCAG